GCTGAATTTCAGTGTCTTTGGGTAGCTCATCACAGCCCCCACTTCCCAGCTTATTCCGTTCTGTTGCTCCCTGGGCTCTGTGAACACCTGCATTTTTGACTCATAGTTGAAGACTTGATTTCTGCTAAATTTAAAATCCTTTATAAGACTGTAAATTCCAAACTGGTGTGAATGAGTTTCTGAACTAGTATTTGTAGAAGGTAGAGGGAGGAATTACACAACGGAGACGGGGGTGAGCCCACATCTAGGGCACCGGTGATTCCTCCAGCCTCAGCACCTGAGAGACACCACCCCCGGAAATTCCATCCCTATCTGTCTTGTTCCCCTCACTCCTGTCCCAACCCCTTATGGATAAAGTGTAATCAGATTTGGTTTGGTTCTTGTGATGAAATGGCCTCAATGCATTTCCCTTCCCCAGACGAACTAGGGCGCTGTCTCTCCTGGAAACGCCCTTAATATCCTCTGATGATGTCTACACCACACTTACCAACACTTTTCTAGCCATTTACACATCCATACCCACCAGCACTCTGTGCTCTCCTTACAGAGACTGTTACACAACATAATCCTCTTTATAGCTGCAGTACCTAGTCCGGTAGCCCCTGAGCCAAAGAGCTAATGAACAAATGACCAGTGAACAAATGGGTGTGCCATTAGCATGGAGCGAACCCTATCTCCTGTGGCATGGAACACCTGTGTTGTTTTGGGCCCTTGAAAATGTTTCATTTTTGCCAGAGATTGATGGAAACTTCCAATAAGTTCCTATTTTAATTATAGTATGATTTTTCTCCCATAAATTTGCATGTAATCTTTGTATTGTTCGAGACTTTTTTTTAAACATACGTTCTCAAGAAAGCCCGGCAGCACATTTGCAACTGACACCTTACCCATGATTTTCCTTTCAGCCTCCAGCAGAGTCAGCCTCCTTGACCTAATTAGACTTTTCCACTCCCACATAGCTAGTAAATACTATAATTAATTTATAAAGGACTCTGAAACACCAGCTGGTGAAAATTTCCTATTAATAATTCTTACAGAATGAAAAGAGCATTTGAGTTGTGGAAGAGTTGTGAAGTGTGTGTGTTCACATTTTTTAATCCACTGAATTTCCAAGAATGTCAAATCGCAAAATATACTAAGTAAAAAATATTTAATAATTTCTTGTGACTTCTTTCAGCATATTTATTTTAAATTGTAGAAAGAAATATGAGAAACAAAATATTCTCAGAGATGTATCTGAGGTATGCAAGAGTTGAATATCTGCGGATATGCACATACATACTGAGTACTGTAGCAAACTCTGATCTTCTTCAAAGAAAGTCAGAAGAAAAAAGAGGGATCACCAGTTTAAGAAAGATTTCTCAATGCCCAAATTTAAGAAGGATTTCTCAATGCTCAAGGGCAACTATAGTGCCCATCTTTTAAAGTATTTCCCTATGCAACAGCCAAAGTTTGTAGAATTTTAAGATGGCTCCCAACACTTCTGCCCTCTGGCATACATGGCCAATATTATACCTGCCCTTGGGTGTGGACAGGACCTCTGAAGAGGACACCATAGCATTTCCTTGATTAGGTCATACTGCATCGCAAATGGAGTGAACTTTCTCCTGTGATTACATTATAAGACTCTGTTGTGGTAGTAATAGTAATCAGAGCGGTAAATAGTAGTAATAGAACAGCGGTAGCAGCAGAAGACTGCAGAGAGACTCTCCTGCTGACTCTGGAGAAGGAAACTCCTTGTTTTGAGGGGGCCATATGGTTAGGACCTGAGAGAAGTTTCTAGAAACTAAGAGAATTCATTTTTCTTACAAGAAAATGAGAACCTTGTTCCCATAGCAGCAAAGAACATGATTCTCCAACAACCTGAATTACCTTGGCAGAGAACCCTAAGCTTCAGATGAGATCACAGCTCCAGTTTACAACCTGACTGCTGCCTGCCTGGGAAGGCTCTGAGCGGAGACTCCAAGCAAGCCTTGCCCTTGCCTGCAGACACGGAGGGACAGTGAATCCGCGCTGCTCTAAGCTGCTACTGCACTTGTGGTGACCTGTCACACAGCAACAGAAAACCAATCAACATTTTCCTTTTCTCAGGGGCCTTCACTCTTGCCTCCTCCCAGCCAGACTTACAGATTACGTCACGCACGGAACACCTGCCATGGCTGAATGGTCAGAGGTGCGCATCTGACCCAAACCAGGCCAGGGCAACTGGAGTTTGTCTGGAGAGTCCAGAGCTTCCACTTTGAGGAGAGAAACTTGACATGTTAGCAACACTCTCTTCTGTTTGTGGCTGCTGTTAGGGTATTCAAAGCCCTGGGGTGATATTTGGGAAGTGAGGGGGAACTGTAGCAACAATTTGATTATAAATGTAATTACAAAAGTCATGGGTCCACGTGAGGGGTAGTGATTCATTGCTGAAGATGTAGGGCAAGGAAAAGCTAACACAGCTGCTTATTGTCCAACCAGTGCACGTGAAGAAATTTCCTAATTTCCAAGAATCACCTATTTGTGTTCACTGTTCTTAAAGATACCTTTCTTGGCTAATTTTAGATCTCCCACTGCAAGGAAAAGGTAGTGACACCTTTATTATTCATAATGCCATATGAATGCCATAATGGCTCTTTGGATCCTTTTTAATCAAAACAATATAGATCTTCTTGCCTCTGCAGTTCCCTAATGCCATTTATTTAATGCTGACTACGGCATTACTCATAACTCTGCAACATCCATTGTGCTGCCTACGAACACTGGCTTCTAATGGCTCTCAGATGTCACTAGTGGGTTTTGCTGATGAACACAAACACAAGTCTTACCCAGAAAATGCATGAAAATGTGAACAATTATTCATACTATGGTCATGTTAAAATGTGTTTGTAATTTTATAGAATTAATTTATAGAAGTTATAGCACTAACATAGAACAACACATCTCCCAAACATGTCTTCTCTAGAACAGTCTAGACTTTAATCATTGCATCCCTGGAATGTGACCCTTTTAATGTTAATCACAGCCCTGGTCACACATGGTTACCAGCAGTGAGGACAGAATGGCTGCCCTCAGCAGATCAAGAACAGCAGTCCCATTTGCACAGCTGTATCCACTGCTCACTGCATATGGCTTAAGACCAAGCCAGAACAAGACATCACCATGTTGATTAAAGGCAAGAAAGCATATCTATCAATCAAGATGGCCCACTGGCTTTGTGTGCTACAGTCTAAAAAGGCCTGGAGAGGACAAGTATGGTCACAACAAGCAGAGTCTGATACAGCAGAGCTTGCAGAGGGATGGTGTGGCCTTCCCAGGTGCCAGCAGCAGGATAAGGGATGGGGACCCCAGGATAAAGGATGGCCACTGCCACCCATGTCTCCTTTTGGTGCTTTCCAGCAGAAGCCGTTCCTCAGTCTGACCACAAACAGCAGAGAACCCACATGGAGGCTCACGCAGGCAGCCTGGTGGTGAACAGCTGTAGCCCAGAGCTCTGGACTCATCCTGTGCCCAGTATCAATGAAAATCACCTTCAAACCAGCTGTTGTAGCTATGGTAGGCAGCTAAAACTCCAAGAGTAACCTCATATTTCTGGCAAGAGAACAAGGAAAAGAGGACCTTGCAAGACAAAGTGAGAGGAATATAAGAGATGAGAGATGAAGAGGAGGATCCCTAATTCTCTATATGAACCCATACAAGTTCTGTGGTCAGCCCTGGACGGAGCATGTACAGGACAGAAACAAAGCAACACAGCAACAGGTCTCTGGCTGAACTACAATTTAAACTACTGCTCAAGTCCCCAAATAATCCCTGAGTATCATGTGCTTAGAACAGACACAAAGAAGCATAGGAAAGACGTTAAAAATGGAACTGAGGCAGAACCAGTGCTCATAGAGGGTGAGAATAAACTTGTGACTTGAACCAAACTTAACTGACTGCCTCCTAGAATTAAAAAAAAAAAAAAAAGATCCACATTCCCTCAAGGCTTTAACAAGACCCAGAACCTATGCAACACAATTTTCAAAACATTAGGACAAAATCCACAATACAAAAGAAGTGGAAAAATGTGACCAAATTTCAAATGAATTTTTTTTTAATCAACAGCTGTCAACCCCTAGAAGTCTAAGATGATGTTATACAATTATCAAAGATCTTAAAGCAATTATCATAACTAGGCAGTATTGAATAATTTCTCTCTTAAATACAGTTATGTGGGGCATATATAATGGTGGTTCCATAAAATTACAACACTGTTTTACTATACCTATTCTATGTTCAGACACACAGAATTGCCTGAAGTATTCAGAAACCTATTTTACAGGTTTATAACGTAGGAGCAATAGGCTACACTGTATAACGTGGGCGTGTAGGAGGCCTTACCAGCTAACTTTGTTTCAGTACACTCTGTTTGCACAATGACAAAATCACCTACCACTGCGTTACCAAGAACACTTCCCCACTGTTAAGTGCTGCACAACTATGTTATATTGTAAAAAAGCTTCTTGTATTTATTTAGCAGAATCCATGCATAAAAATGCCCATATTAAAGTGGTTTGTAATGGGAAAAGCTGCAAAACAGAGGGAATAAATTGTCACATACACACAAAAATACTACCAGTATGTAGCCGTGAAAATAAAAACACTACATTTACATGCTTCTACTTGTAACTACCTATGACAAGTTTATAGCCATAGTGTTGAGCGAACCATAAATACAATAAACTACCCAGGCAATGGTTTATCAAATTCAACATACATGTACATAAACTAACATTTCAAAGAGTGAATACAGCCCCAAAAGAGAAGAGTGTTATCATTGGGAGAAAGCAACAGGATAGGATCAGAAAAGACACTGGCAAAGTTAGCAACACTGGCACCTTAGTTCTAAAATTCCCAGTCGGTTCCCACGTGAGTGGAGTGTTGCTCACTCATGTGTTAGACCTACTCATGCATCAAAATCAACAGTCTCCTCAACAACATCCTATGTGTGTGAAGTAAGAGTGTTCTGTGTCTTTAGCAAAATAACGTCTGCAAACACCGGCACAGCTCGGCCCACCTCCCTCCCTCCCCTACACCGCGCCACCTGCCTTCCATGTCCCTGAAGTGACGCAACCACTTCCGCCGCCGCCTCTCCAGCCCCGCCAACCTCGGCGGAAGTGCCTTCCTCCCGGGTCCTCCCGCCGGCAGGGGGCTCTCCGCGGCGTCTAGTGCCACGAAGACCTCCCGCCTGGGCTGTCCCGACGGCGCCTGTTAGTTTGGCCCTGGGGGAAAAAAGGCTTATTATCGCTTTCAGCTAGGAAACAGGAGCACAGGCATCTCGGTCGGGACGATGGTGTCCAAACGCAGCCGCCGCTCGGCGCCCGCATGATCGCGCCCGGACGCGGCGGCGGGCGGGAGTCAGGCGCGGTGCGGGCAGCCCCGCGGCGCCCGAAGGCCCCGGCCCGCTTCCTCCTGCGAAGACGTAGCTGCGGGTGGCTGTGGTGCTGGCGTCCAAGATGTCGACCAAGAATTTCCGAGTCAGTGACGGAGACTGGATTTGCCCTGACAAGAAGTGAGTTCCCGAGGGGGCCCCGATTGAGCCGGGGCGTCTCGGGGGGGCTTTCCGACGCCGGCGCGGCGTATTCCGTTTCTGCGGGCTCCTCGTGCCGACGCCGGCGGGAGGCGGCGAACCGCCGGCGCCGTGCGGGACGGAGGCTGCGGGTCTCGCCGCGGGAGGGTCTCTCGGGGCGCCTTTGTTTCCGCGCTGTGGCCGGCGTGTCCTCGCCGTCCTGGCCCCGGGCCGCCGCTGTCCGGGCGTGCGACGCGGCCGCCTTCCGCCCCCGCCCCCACCGCGCCGGCGGGTCTCGGCGCCGAGGACGTCCCCGGGTCGGCCCGGCTCGGGGGACCCCCACGTGACTCTGCAGAACTTTATTCCGGTTCTGGTAAGGCGGCGCCTTCCCGCAATCGCCCCTTAGTCGCCTTGTGTTGTTTTTCTGGTTAAACTTGTCTACCGTGCTGTTTTTTCCCTTCCCCAAGCCTTAGCCCTCTTGGGTCTGGAAGTCCCGACGTCTTTCGGTCGTTGACCTTTAGCTTCCCCACGTTAACTGGGCTTTTTGCCACCTCGGGGCAGAGCGGGAGGCCTGCGGCGGAGTCGCACGCGTGGGGCGGCCCTGCGCTCTGACGCTGTTGCTGAAGCCAGCGCGCCCCGTGCAGTTGTTGGGCCTCACCGGAGGCAGCGCAGACGCGTGTAGGTATTTAGAGATGCGTGGAAAACAGCCCCTTTTTGTTTGTTTTTTAATTTTCGTACCTAAGGCAGTCGAAGATACAGAGCTTGTGGTAGGAAAGAGCAGAAATTCTGGAGCATACCCGGGTTCACTTTCAGGCCTGTTACTTGCAGACCACGTCACTAAGTACATAATTTTGCTGAAAAATAGGAATAAAATTGCTCCCTTAAAACGAATCCGTGAAATAACACGAGTGGCGAGCGTAGAGCTGCGAAGTGCAGCAAGTACTTCCGGATTGGTCCCTGTGGGTGTTGAGATGACCCGAAGGAACCCAGAGCTGACGCAGGGAAGGGAACTCAAGTTGTGTGTCCGCAGTGGGCTCTGCCGAGTGAGACCCTGCCGAAACCTGGGGAGGTTTAAAACAGCAGCTTCTGACTCTCACGCTGCTGATCGCCTGTAGAATAATGCACTTCTGTCTGTCCACAACGTTGCGGGCAGACGGTAGGAGAGGGGGTTTCAACTTGTTTGTAAGAATAGCTTGTTGGCTCTACCATATGTATAAAGCCAGGGGACAGCAGCGCTTAAGGTTGTGAGGAACATGTTTTCAGGAGGAAAAAAACAAAAATCATTTGGAATGTTTCTCTTAGTGTCATCCCATTCTTCACATCTATATTTCATACTAATGTAATGTTTTAAAACTCGAGTTTTCAAATTTCAAGCTTTACATGTTGTTTAGAGCATTTAAAAATGCTTTAACTGGGCGGCGCCTGTGGCTCCAAAGGGTAGGGTGCTGGTCCCATATGCCGCAGGTGGCGAGTTCAAACCCAGCCGCGGCCAAAAAAAAAAACTAAAAATGCTTTAACTGCACGTGTCGTTCTAAGATCACATAAGTGAACCTCTATTTTTGAGTTTTGTGTTGAGTAAGGTGATAGATACTGTACTGTTCCATGTTTTGACGTTATTGGCTGTTGTGTCACTTTTTTCAGCTAAGTGTCAGAGGTTTGATGAACACATTATATAACTCAGAATTATTGAACTTTTTATATTTTTAATCAGTACCATCCCATCTACTATCTGTAAAAAGGGCATTTCTTTAACTTTTTCCCCGTTCACTTCTAGGGTTTTATAATTTTTGGAATACACATTTTTTATAATATCAAATTTTTGTATATTTTTACTTTCTATACTGAGAGTTGCTTTGGAGTTTTTTTAAAACCCCTTGGTGTCTTGTCAGTAATTATTGAAGTAGAGTCAAATCTCGTGTTAACTCTGCAAAGGATTTTCATTATAATTAATGATATGTGTTGATTTTTTTTTCCTACTGGATTATGAGGAGTTTTTATAGTTAACTTTGACATTAACATAACTAAAATAAATCAGAAGTTCTGTATTCCAGATACATGAGGATACATTAAGATGCTGCTATAAATGCTTCTCATTTCATTTTCAGATGTGGAAATGTAAACTTTGCTAGAAGAACTAGCTGTAATCGATGTGGTCGAGGTAAGTGAGAAAAACTCTGTTAATATTTTATATACAGTTCTTTTTTTATTTCTTCCAATTCATGTTGCACTATTTTTATATTTTTCAGAGAAAACAACTGAGGCCAAGATGATGAAAGCTGGGGGCACTGAAATAGGAAAGACACTTGCGGAAAAGAGCCGAGGCCTTTTTAGCGCTAATGACTGGCAGTGTAAGACGTATGTGTTTGCAATACTGTCTATTTTTCTTCCTTAGTAATATATCCGACCACTGCTGGATATGTCAAAAGTTAATTTTATAAACGCTCATTCATCACATTGATAAGCCAGGGTAATCCTATAAATCAAAGGTCTGTTGATTATTATTCAATGTCTCATATTTAAGAGTAGTATATAAAGAAATTTTAAATTTTTTGCTGTATTTCTAATGGTAATCACGGATAACAAATCTTTTCAAATTTTTCACTTCTTGTTATTAATATGAAATATACTGCAAAATTCATTTGCCTATTTGCAAAGAAATGTTAGGACAGTAAGTTGCATACCATAAATATTCCTAATTAGACAAATTTCTTAAAATTTTTGATTTTCAACTTTAGGTTTAATTCTGTATTGATTTTTTTTCCCCATCTTTTTTCTGTGTGGATGAATCATATACTTGTGAAAGGGTTAAATCACAGAACAATCTTGTATAAACTTCTGATCCTATAGATACTGAATTTGTTTTGAAAAATTTCCCAGCAACAGATTAAGTCACTGGATTTAGTATACTGTGAAATTCAGTGCTTCCCTAAAAACACAAACAAAAGAAAACTTTTTGAGGTGAATTCAAAGAATGAGAAATTAGTGGAAACTTTAAAGTGATTCCCCCTCCCCTTTTTTATCTGGTAAGGCCTCAGAATCTCACTACAGATTGAATATCCCTTAAATGAAGTGCTTGGAACCTGAAGTGATTGGGATTTCAGGTATATTCAGAATTTTGTTTGGCATCCCTAATCCAAAAATTTATCATACTCTAGTGAGCATTTGCTTTGCGTGTTATATCAATGGTCAAAAAGTTTTGGATTTTGGAAGATCTCAGATTCTCATTTTTCTCAGAATTACAAAAGCACATCATAGTATAGGAATTTGCTTCTCTGCTTAATAGTTTAGTCTGTAGGAACCCACATTCTATCTTCAAATCAGTGTATATTTTCTTCATTTGCATTACTAAGTATACGTGATAACAATTTTATCCTGGTTTTTCTTTTAAATTTCTAAACTGTCTAAAATTTTAGTATTTTTCTAGTTCTGTGTTACAGCCTATTAATTTGACATTTCTCATTTAAAAGTTGCAGTAATGTGAATTGGGCCAGAAGATCAGAGTGTAACATGTGTAATACTCCAAAGTACGCTAAATTAGAAGAAAGAACAGGTAAGATATAACCACATTTTAACTAAATGATTAAGAATTAAAAATTGAATTGATCATAACAGCACAGAAATAATCGAGGATTCTGTCTGTTCTGTTCTTAATGCTTATTAGATTTTTTTTCTCTTACATCTTTCATTTCATGATTTCACAATTTATAAGGTATAATATTAACAATCTCTATTCTAACATGTGGGAACATCAGGATACTTTTAGAAATGCTTTCCTTCATCCCTTCTGTCCTACTAGTTTAAACATTTGTTATTTAATAATGATGTAGTAATTTATTTTTATTCTTTCAATATCCTTGTATGACAGAAAAGGCAAAGGTGTACCTTTTCAGGTATTTGTCTAAAGCTCAGACAGTAATTCTCAAACTCGGCTCTGCGTTAGAATCACATGAGAAACTTGATAATATAAATTCCATATCACAGAACTGTTCTTTGGGTCCCAAAAATCTGTGGGATGGTGTTTGGTAATCATTGGCCTGATTGATAGCTTACCATTGGCTTTGTGTGTTGTCAGTGGTAAACTGAGGCTGTTTACCTAATGCAGTCTGATTTTCCTGATACTAGCAGTTAGCCTAACTACATTATCTGTGTATTTCACATCTCTTTTTATCACTCAGCTACTCAGACATCAAATGATAGAAGTATTCTTTCTACATATAGTCACCCTGTCAGTCCTAGACCTGATAAACTATTCCTTGCTTTCTTTAATTTACATTCTCACATATGAGAATATTAAACCTTAATGGCCTAGATTTTCATTTTCTATTTTTCTTCTTTTTTCCTTTTTTAACCTTCAAATTCCACCTCTTATTCCAGAAGAGAAGTGATTTTTGCCTTTATACTAATTGAGTAGATTGAGGCCTTCTGACAACAGTCTCCCTGTTTTTTTCCTTCCATCCCAAGCCCTTTGATTATTCTGTCTCATTGGTCAGTTGCTTTTTCGATCTAGTTGGTAGGTCGCTTTTCTTCATGGCCACTGAATTAGCCTTGGTATTCCTCAAGGCCCAGTCCCTAGGCCCTTTTTCTTTGTTTTCTAGGTATTTTCTTGGTATGCAGTGATAGTCAAAATGTATGTGTTCAGCTCAGACTTCTTCTTTGACCCATTTATCCAGCTGCCTATTCAACAGCATTGCCATGTAAATGTCAAACTGATCCCTCACCTCCCAAGATGGCCGTCTTCCAGTGATCTCTTTCTCATGATTAGTACCACTTACCATATACTTATTACATAAGGCAGAAATCTAGATGCCCTTCTTAGCCTAGATAGCTCCTTCTTCATCTCCTCCCTCCCTAAATGGTCTTTTCCATCATCATCCTAGGCAGAGATGTCATTATGTGTCATGGAGAAATAGCTAGTCTCTGGATATACTCCTGCCCAGTTCCAGACAGAGTTTTTTTATTTCGTTTTCCAAATCAATAACTCCTTTGTTTAAAACTGTTCTGGTTGTTTTTAGGATAAAGTCTAAAATCTCTTAATAGTTCTAAAAGCTATAATTTGGAAAGGCTTTCTTTTCGCATTCTCCTTGACCTATTTAATGACTACTACCTTATCTAAAGTTTCACTGTAGGAAGAGCATTGGTCTACCAAAGTAACCTTGCTTCTTTTACTCATTATCATCTTTCTGACATTCTGGTGTCTTGAACCTTACCCTCCTTTCTGCCTGCAGGTATTTGTCTTTTTTGGTAACGGTCGAAGGTGTGAAATAACCTATTCTGTTATTCCAGTTTCTCTTCACTATTTGGAATAAAGCAGCGTAAGGTTCAGGGAAACATTTTTTAAGCTTAACATAGTAAGTGAATAAAAAAGAACCTAATTATCTTTGACAGATTAGTCTTTTTTTTTTTTTTTCTTTTTAAATCCATGAACGGTAACAGTAACAGCATAGAAACATTGTGAATAAATTCTCAGGATTTGAATTAATTGTTCATAGCATAGAATCAGAATTTTCAGTTTAGTGTATTAGTTCCTTTCCACTTTCAGCAACCCTAATCCAAGTACTCATTTTAAACCTTCAGTTTTTTTTTTTTTTTATGTTACACTGTGAGACAGTTTTGAAAACATTATCATTTTAAAACTTCCACTAAAAATCTACAGAAATTCTTGGTTACTTCGTAAAGCTTGCTAGCAAAACTCAAGATTCTTTGAATGGTGACAGTTTGTAGTGTTTTATGTATTCATTCATTAAATAAATAGTTACAGAACACTGCAGGGTGCTGAGGATACCTGGGTGAGCAGAACAGTCATACAGAGTCAAAGATTAATAGAGTCCTCTTTGAGAAAGCTATGCTTAACCTGAGAAGGGAAAGATAAGTTTCAAGCTACAGCAAACAGCTTTTGTGAAGGTTCTGAGATTTGTCAGAATTTAGCATGTTGGATAAACAACTCCTTAGCTCCAGAAAATACTTGAGAAATAGGCAAAGGCTATGTAAATCAGGTAAGGAATTTTTTTATTCTCAATAAAATGGGAAATTTCTGGAGGAAATTTTAAAGAGAGTAGCACAGTCTAATTTGTTTAAACACTGCTTTTACTTGTCTGTGAGTAGGATTGGGAGGAGATAGCAAGAGCAGAACCAAGAAAAGCGATTTTTCTGGTATTACCTGCAGTACTCCAGTCCTCTAACTTGAGCTGTCATTGGAAATAACATGCTCAAGATTTTTCATGATAGGGAACTAGTGTATTTTCCATACGTAGAAAACAAGTTCTTGAGCTGGTATGTAATCTCCATGGCCTGCATGAAAGAAAAAGAAAATAGCTTTGTGTTTACTGTGATTTTTCACTTTTAAACACGTTCACTTACATACCTTTGCAACATTACCTGCATGAATTAAGAGTTCATTTTCTAACTTTACAATTTATTTTTTAGCTCTCTTCGTATTTATCATATGTTTCAGTTGCATATTATTAAATGTGAACAGAGAACCCTACAAAAAGCCTGAATCTTGATATTAAATAGTATTGTTTTAATAAGTTTACATGCTTCCGCATTACCTCTATTTATAAAATATAAATAGTATAATTTAACAAGACACGTTTCAACATTAATAGCCTAGAGAAAACAATGCAGTTCCATTCGATCTATTTCGTTTACTTTTTCTTTTTCTTGTATCCGTTATTTCCTATCTAGATCTCATGGATTTTGTTTAAGTTTTATTTTCCACCTACTTTAAGTATTTTGAAGTTTTTACTTGGTACAAAGTACTGAAGAAAAGAGAGGATGTTATGTTAGTGTGGCTTTTTTTCCCCCAGAAAGTGAAATTTTAAAGTGATTTTTTTTAATGTGTAAGATTAGCAAATTTAAAATCATTAGTCTCAATTAAAAAAAAATACAATTTTGTTCTTATGTGTAAATCTTTTTAACATTTTGCTGACTCATGAGGTCCATAAGTCTAAGAATCACTAGCTTTATGTACTGTTACTGTTCTGGAATATGTGTTATTCTGACCACCTACCTTTTTAATTTATCAGTAGGAGACTACTCAAAAATCTCTCACCTTACTTTTTCTAAAACTAGCTCACTTTCTTTTTTATTCAGCTTTCTTCAAATGACCCGCCATTCATATTGTAAATAATGTGGAATAGTTGTGACATCAGAGAACAATGGTTTCCTAATCTTGACTACTTTTTAATTTGAAGGTTTATTGGCTCTTTCATAGAACCTGAGTGACTCTCACTATGTATTTAAAAAATAATTGCATTGGCTCAGTGCCTGTAGCTCAGTGGCTAGGGCTCCAGCCACATACACCAGAGCTGGGGGATTCAAATCCAGCCAGGACTGCCAAACAACAATGACAACTGCAACCAAAAAATAGCCGGGCATTGTGGTGGGCACCTATAGTCCCGACTACTCAGGAGGCTAAGGCAAGAGAATCCTTTAGCCCAAGAGTTTGAGGTTGCTGTGAGCTGTGACACCACGGCACTCTACCCAGGGCCTCATGGTGAGGCTCTGCTTCAAAAAAAGTAAATAAATAAATAAATAATTGTATTAACTATAACCAATTAAATCAAGGCCAGAAAGATGGCCTTTATTATGTCATTACATTTGCCTGTATGATTAGGAACTTTCCAGTACTTCAGTTCAGTAACATTTAAGTGAATCAGATTTTAAACCATCTATAATTGTTAAACAGTGAAATTTGATTCTTGGTTCTTACTGAACCCACTCCTTTCAGAAGAACTATAATAAACTGCACAGCTATAGAATATCCTTTTAAAACTTTATAGCAGAGATTTGAGGATATATTTTCCACTGGTATATTCCATGAATTGCCTAAGCAAAACAAGACATTTTGAAAATGAGAAGAGTTTACAATTACAGCCATAACGTTCCAAATAAGGTATCTGACTTTGTTCTCTTTGGTGATTTTTAAAGATTTTCTTTTAAAGATTAGTAATGTATTGGATGGATAGACAACTGTTGTTGATTAGAGTTTCTTTTTTTATGGAGGTGATTAGGGCATAATGTGTTACTGAAGTGGACTGTTGTAGGATAATAATTTTTATGTCCTCTTTTAGGATATGGTGGTGGTTTTAATGAAAGAGAAAATGTTGAATATATAGAAAGAGAAGAATCTGATGGTGAATATGATGAGGTAAGCTATATATTAGTGTTTAAATAGAATATAAATTAGAAAAATATGCTAGAAAATATCTTAAATGCAAAGGAACATTTTTAACTGTATCTTTTGTAGGTACAGTTGGAGTCTTTTATGACAACTTATCATTTTGTGGGAAATCATAACTGACAAAATATATGAAAATTCTTTTAAAGAATGTTTTAATTTTAATGCATTTTCAGCTGACAAATATTTTGAAACTTTTTCTCTAGTTTGGACGTAAAAAGAAAAAGTACAGAGGGAAGGCAGTTGGTCCTGCATCTATATTGAAGGAAGTTGAAGATAAAGAATCAGAGGGAGAAGACGAGGATGAGGATGAAGATCTTTCTAAATACAAATTAGATGAGGTACATACAGTTTCCGTCTTACTTCAACTACATCATGACAGTACTTTTGACAACCTTATTTCCTTGGTGAAGATAGATTCTGTTTTCATTTCAACAAAGGTTTTGAGCTTCCATGCTGCCAGCACTATTTTGTTCTGGAGATACAATAGTGACCAAAGCAAAGCCACCCTTATTAAATTCTAAAAGGAGCGATAAAACTAAACAAAGTAGTTTAAAGAGAAATAATGTTATGAAGGCACATGATGTGGTAACATAATTCAAAGAGCTACTTTGATTTCAGCCGATAGGAAATTTTCTGAGGAGGTGAAAGTGGAGCTGGAACTTAAATGATATGAAGGAGCCAGCAGTAAGACCTAGGATGAGAGCACATTTAGGCAGAGAACAGCAAATACAGTTCGCTAAGTAGGAAACAAAGCCAGCAACCTTGAAAAATCATCCATAAGCTAATGTGGTTAGGACAGAGGGGTGAACGAAATGGGGACAGCACCCATTCCAGGTCTGGCGATAACTTGTTTGTAGGGCAGATAAGTTTTATGGTCTGACTGTAGAACCAGATTAACGATATTATGAAGTCTTAACATGAGAAGCCCTAGAATATAACGAAAGAAATTAATGTGGGGCCATTTTTTAAGTTTTTATGCAATAGATTCATGATCTGTATCTCAGGATATTGACTGTCAGTAAATTTTAGAGAGGCAGAATGGTTTTCTAGACTTAAAGAGATGAGCTAAGATATTGTAAGATGTGTATACTAGAGAATAAAGAAGCAAAGTTTATAAGTGGTGGATTCAACTACTTTAAAGGAGGAAGAATTGAAAATTCTTGACAACTGATTTGGTGTAATGCCTTATATATGAGAGGAAGAGTGTGACTTACAGGTTTATGTCTGTGAAGTATCTGAGATAGTTACCAACATCGGTTTAACAGAGATAAAGAATTTAGTAGTTGAAATTCAGAGTTGGGAATGGGTTTGGTAAGACAATACACAAAACTGTTTATCTTTCCTACTAGGTAATTTTAATATCTAAATATAATTGAATTTCTGTTAGGATGAGGATGAAGATGATGCTGATCTCTCAAAATATAATCTTGATGCCAGTGAAGAAGAAGATAGTCATAAAAAGAAATCTAATAGACGAAGTCGCTCAAAGTCTCGATCTTCACATTCACGATCTTCATCACGCTCATCCTCCCCCTCAAGTTCAAGGTCTAGGTCCAGGTAAACGGGTACAGGTCAAGGGTAACAACAGTCAAAATGTCAGTATCTAACTTCTTTATTTATAAATTTTACTTTTCTTGACTAAATAAGCTTTTCTTTCTATTTGGAAGGTTTAATTAAAGTCACCTTTTAAAGGATTTTTTTTTTATCTTAGGGCCATGCACTTATTGTTATTTTCAGAAAAGCAAAATACTAACATAAACTTCCTTAGCCTGTTTTAGCATCTTGCTGTTTATTAAAATAGACTTTAAAACTCAATCAAATCATTCCATACACAGATATTTAATTATCTGAATAGGTTACATTTAAGAACTTCTAAGCAAATTAAGATTTGTGTTTATATTCTAGATGTCGAAGGCTAGTATAAAAATTTTCTCGGCATTCATCAGATTATTACTGCACAGTGTTTCAATAATTTACTTTGATAGTAATATTCTCTTGAAAAACTATCCAAGTGATAGCATGGACAATGAATTTTAATCGTATTTAGGAATAAAATATTAGCTAGTGAATATACTTAATTAGATTTTTGTTAATTGAGCATTATAAATCCTAGTAGCTTAAAGAAGTGCTTATAAACAATTTTAAGGTAAAAATCTTGTCTAGGTTATTTTAAGAGACATTAAAGGTGTAAATTAGATTAATGGTTTTATTTCATTTCTGATTTTTAGATTTTGGATGGACCATAGCTCTCCTTGTGACATATTTATATTTCAACAATTACATAAACCAATGATAAAATTATTATATATTCTGTCTTTAATTCTCTAAGCTTTGAGTAAGCAGAAAAACATAGAGATCAAGTATACACATGCCAGCT